GTGAGCGAGCGAGCGACTGATTTCTGTCCATCCATTCGCTGCCGAGCTGTCTCCTTCTGCCGTACATTTCCTCGGGGAGTCTTTCGGGCCATTGTTCGTTCTCGTGTCCGAGCCCGGTGAGGAACGATGGGCGGAAATTGAATGCGTTCCTTCCCTGCAAATCTCTCCTCTTGCGGTTGTCGTTGTACATATCATGCGCTCATGGAGCCGCGACCCATTGTTTTCCTCATCAAGTTCCTCTCAGCGCAACGTTCGAGCGAAAATTTTCAAGATCGGACTTAAAGTGTGCAGTCGAGATGTCCACGCATTGTCAATCTGAGAGAGGTCTTGTTCACGGAGCATTCATCGCGAACGGGATGGATCGCGTCGGTTCCTCGAAAAACTGCAAATTATTCACTTCTGTCGGAGGATCGAAAAGTATCGTCGACGCTGACCGAACCAGAAGTTTCTCGGCTTGACATGTTCCGTAAGTGAAAATCGAGGAAGGAAACTACCACATATTATCGGGACTTTCCCCGAACGAAACGTGTGGCCCATCAAACAATCGAGCGAAAAACTCCGTCACTGCCGATTCACTGCCGCTGATCAGCGAAGCTGCCGTACCGGCCGTGACGCCTTACTGCGGCCAAGGATGACACCGCAGAATTAATTCGCCTGCGCCGACATATTGATCGTTGTGGCTGCTGCGGCACAATCAGCCAGACGAGCGACCGACCGACCGTCCATCCGAGCGGGTGGCTGGCCGGCTCGCTATCCGATCGGCCGCTCGGTCGACCAACGCGATGGCCGGACCGACTGACCGACCGGGTGAACGAGGAAAGCTAGAATGGAACGTGTTTAGTTGTTGATAATCAAGGCTGAAGTCTTGTCCAGGGGTCGGAGGGCAGCACGTCGTGATGAAGTGGCTTCTTCATCACGGCGGGTACCCATCGCAACTACCACGGAAACTTCACTCCGTCGTCGAAGGTACTGTTCCTCCGGTGACATTATTCCTTTTGTTCCACACGTCGTCCTCCAGGGAGCCGTCGCGTCGGTTCGGTGAAAAATCGGGAGAATGGAGAGGAAAAGAAACAACGGATCGAGCCGAATATCGGAGGTGACAATCCCCGTCCGCAAAGATCGAACGATTCACGGGATTTCCAGTGCGTAGCACGAGCTGCGCGGAATCGATCGACAGGGAGGCAGAGCGGGCGAGTCGAATGGGTACGACCATTGTGGAATACGAAGCGCACGACCGCGGTGCGTAGAGCCGCCTGCAGAGCGCGACGGTCTCGAGGGCGCGCGGCCGGACTGATCGCGGAATCGGATAAACAACGGAGCGAAGAAGAAGAGGGAGATTTTAAATCGTGTCGAGAGCTCCTCGATATGAATGGATGCACGGCCACTATCGATTCCCTCATCGTAGCCCTCGCGGTCGTCGTCGACGACGGCATCGTATCACTTCGTCCGATTTACCCAAAGAGCCGGCTCGATGATGTTGCTGCTGTGGCTGTTTGCAGAATCTCTCTGTGGCCGCTCGGTGACAGGAGGCGAGCGTCTTCAGATTATTAAGCCCGAAGACACGTTGTGAAGGTACCAGCCCTGGTATCATGATCCTCGAGCCCTGCCGTGCACGTCCTGGGCACGTCACCGCGAAATCAGATATCTCTGCTGGACTCGTTGCTGCTGAGACACACAAATCTACGGTGTCATCGGCTCCGCGGGTAGGCGCGGCGGCAGCGCCTGTGGTGGACAGAGGAACTATCGCAGCCACGGAACACTAACGTACAGGTGGCAGAAATGGTTTTTTGAGCAGCGTTCCAACGACACCGAAAGCGCAGACGACGCAGACAGGGACAAGCAGAACCATTTGTCTCGATCCGACATCCAGAACCAATTTGCCGGGGGAAATTTATAACAGAGTTGACCAGCGTCAACGAGGTGTCAAGTCTCTCGATGACTGGAATCCATTGACAGCGACCAACGAGCGGCGGTTCAGTGCCGTCACTGATTCATTGAACGCGACGCCGAAGGGGCTCGTAGCGAATCAGAATAATGTCACGCTAGACATGAGAGCTCGAATGGCGGATGTTGTATTAATCGCCCACCCTGATGAAAAATCTCCTCGGAATCGTCAGCTCGCTCGCGAATACTCCGCCTGACAGAAATCCGTTAATCCCCCCGGAGTGTCTTCGGCATGGGATTGTCGGTCGGCGGAATTCGACAGGTCCCCGCACAGAACAAATTCGTTACTCGCTCTCGGCGGCAGAGCGCATTTTCTGAAAGTCCCTACTCACGCAAACTCTGTCTCCGCTGACAAGTCCTATTAATTTCATCGTGTGAGGTCAATCTAAGGAAGAAAAATGCCATCCGGGCCCACAACCCAAACAACTATGCCGCGGCGCCGACTATCTATGACAAGACGGCGAATCTGAATCGGCTGAACGTCGAAAATGGCTCTGAAGCAGGGGAGTATAGATGTACACGAAGCTAAATTTGTGACTTTATTCAATAACCGAGAGAGAAAACCGATGACGTCTGGCCTTCGACTGCAATAATTAAAACACAAGGTTGTCTCCTGTCAATTCTTGCAGGGAAGACACAAGGAATTAAAGATGCGTCGCCTCCTGCATGGATTACGAGGTTTTTCCTGCAACCGACTCCGCGCAATTCGTCGTTAAATCGTCGAAGTGACGCGTGATATTTTTTGGAAGGACGTAAGAAAACAGAATATATTTTTCCTCTGAGAAGCGCAAGCTCGGTGGATCGCTCATGAGCGGAGGAGGAATTGAAGGAGAAACTATCGAGGAAAACGATTATCACGATTCGGTGAGAACTAGGCAGGCAGCGGGAACGTAAGAAGGTAGCTAAGTAATTCAAAAAGCTCAGTAGAATACACGGCGGGCGCGAAACCCTAAACGCATTCGCTTACGGAGCACATTAGGAACTCTCGCCCCAAGCTTGGCAACGACTGATTGTGATTCGCACGCTCGTTCTTCGAGTCCAAGACGTGTCGAGGTGTTCCGAAACCGAATCCGAAGCGCAAGGAGTTTCGAAACACCGACCGGTCGTCATCCATCTCGGGGTCCATTATCATTCCATCATGCTGATCGCTTCGCGAGGAATCCTGCGATCTTCGGAAGCCATACGTGAGGCTTGTTTTCCTCCCGAATGTTCCCGTTTTCCCGGAGGACACTTCGTACGGAGAAAATTTTCAGGCTTCTACCGAGTGTTCAATGGTAGAGGACTCGTCGTTCGCTCATGTCATCCAGCCGAAACAGTTCCCAACGCTCCGGGGTTGCATTGGTGCAGCGATCGACTGTTCGCTCAGAGAGGCGTAGGTGACTTGTCATCTCCCCCGGAGGTGTCAACCGAGTTACGACCGACTGCTGACCTCTGATAAGAGACACAAAAAGAGCGGGAACACGCTAGCCGGGAGGAGCCCACTAGGTTTTCTTCCACGAATGTATTGTTCCCGAGTAAGTGTAGCTACCCTCCAGTTTGACAGCAGCAGCGGCGACAACAACAACAACTAAATGTTTTCCCTCGGCGCCGCACATTTGGGCCGCGTCCAAAGGAGCGGAACATTTTTCCTTCATAGACATGTAGCTGATTCGGACTGCAAGCCCGAGAGTGATCCGTGGGGTTCACAGGAGTAACTTCAGCTTGAACGCGGAGCGGAGAACACTCGAATTGGAAATTCTGCAGTTCACCCATGTTTTTCGGTGTTGTGGCAGCATCGAGAGTCGGCGCGGCGGTACGGTTTTCTTCATTTCGTACTTGGCTTCATTAATATTCCGAAAGCATGTATATCGCGGAAAAAGAAGAGAAAATACGTTTGTGGTCTGATTCCGACACATGGGATGATTTGTAATTGATTTACAACCCTGCCACTTTTGACCTTTTTCGCGCCATTAGCGGAGATATTCTCTCGTGAACTTCTGATCGATCTTCACGGACGACGGTGGCAACAGTCGAAGAGAGCTTCCTCCGCTAGGTTTGGGCCGTTGCCGCAGCAAATAAGCTGTATCGAAAACGCTTGACCCAGAGATGGCATTACCTCTTTTCACGCCCTCGAACAGATTGATCTCACAGCGGAATTCCGCGAAGATGCGCGTGCCTTGATCGAGAAGATGGGGTTTCCATCCTACCTCTTCCATCGCCGCTTTGGAGCATGGGCACAAAGGACCGGGCTCGTTCCCTGTGTCCGCAGAGGTTTCAGAAACTCGAGCGTGTGTACGGTATTCATCTGAACTTCAATAACGAATGCGTGAATGTATACGATATGGGGAGGAGCATCTGAAAATTGACGGTTGATATTTGATGCTCAGAGTTCCTATGCGAATGCGAGCCCACAGGTGAACGACAAGTCGGGAGTTGTCCGCGCGCCTACCGAGATCTCTCATGCACTCGGAATTGAATTCTCGCCCTCGAAGAAGTCTTTAGGACGATTCTTCACCTCCTTGCCGCGACGTGGTCCTGAATCCACCCAGAGCTGTCCGAAATCTTCGGCGACCAGAATCAGGGAAGAGCTTTCGGTTGCATGGAGATCGGAATCACACGTGGGGGAAAAGTCTCCCATCCTTCCATTAAAACATTCGGAGCACACAGCAAGGTTGCCGCCTGATCGCCGCTGCAACTGTCAATAACACAATGCTACCCATTTGCTCCGACACGGCGGGACGAGGATGAAAAATGGTTACCAACTATGACATTAATATGGCGCGAATCGAAGACGATTTTCGCTCGAGGAGACAGCAAAGCGAAACAGTTCGTTCCATTCATTAGCTCGATGGACTCCTTCGGCACCCTCCTTTCCCACTGAGCCTCTGATATATGACGCTGACTTGTTCTTCCGGACGAAAGCAGACTCTCTGACAGGTTCTCCACTAATTCTGAGGTGATCCCGCGAGCTGAGGATTCGCAATCAATTTTGGCTACTATTTATTCGACATGTATGTGTCGATGTCCGACGATATGAAGTGAACGATCGGAGTGGACGAGGTTTTCAAGAGACGAAATTCGACGGCAAAAATGTATTCATTTGACCTCATGGTTTCACATCAGAATTCTCGACAAGGCTCTGAAGTAAACAATCCCATGCGTTCCATGCGAGTCCGGGAGGCACTGGCCGGGTGACAAAGGACCAAGAATCTCCCGGAGCTCTCTCGGGCATAGGATTGCTTTCCATTTTTCTTGGAAGTTACAGTTCTGAGGGCGACGGATCGCTCTGTGGATTCGGGTCCCGATCGGATTTATCCCAATCTTGTATAATAACCAAGTACGCCACCCCTTGGAACCAGGGTCCGCATGTCAGAATGTTATTCGATCCTAAATAGGATTTTCCGCGTGTTTTTCTGAGCTTTGTGCAGGACGAATTCGAGTTGGAAGTGTTGCCCTACGTGATCGAGGAGAGTCTCTTGAATTTTTCGGCCTATCGCCAACACTTCGCGTTTGTTCTTCGTGTTCATCCACACGGAGGCTCGGATGCAACTGGATTTGCGCGAGAGATAAACGCCGTTCACGTTAGCCGTCAAGCTTCCCAGCGTTTTCCCTCCGATCAGCAATAGACACAGTTCTTCCCAGACGAGGTCACAAAGCTCGCCCTCTGGTAGCAGGGTAGTGATATTCCATCTTCCAGCCTGGAAAAGAGCCCATCTGATTAGCGGACGCTTCGTTTCGGGATGGAGTCGATTCTGAGATGATTCGTAGGAGAGAGCCCGAATCTCACTTTTCCATTGGCTTCATCTTCCCATTCCGGCCGCACGCCTTTTTTAAAAACGTTGAAATTTAGTCTTCGACTATCGGAGGGTCCACACAGATTGAAGAACAAAGCCCAGAATTCTTCTATGGTGGAAAAATCGCAAACGTGACTCAACGCCTTCTTCCAGTCTTTAGTGGACTATGAAAGAGAAGGAGCAAGACTTTAGTAGCAAGTTTTTCTGCTGGCTGACGGTCGGAGTCGGATCGAACGCCGATCCTGGGGTCACGCTTTCTGCGCGAGAGTCCTCGAGGACAAATGGCTAAACAGAATATTGGATTCCCGAAGCGTCAGCTATTTCGATCCGACCCCGAGCGGGGCGGCGACCGAACCGTCAGTCAGGGCCCCCAGCTGGATCGAGCGAAGGAGTCCGAGTCGAGGAGAACTCACATCATTCACCCAGAAGCTCCAGGCGTACTCGAGGGGATGTGAGAACAGGTCGCTTTCAGATGCACCATCGAGAATCAGATCTGTGGTAGGTTGGAATGACTTCATTAAGGTGACATTCAACCTCTCGCAACGGGTGTCCCACAAGCATTGCACCGCCGCCCGTCCGCAGCGACCGCTTCAGATCGATGTTACCGGGAGGCATCTCGCAGAGAACGCGTCAAACTCACCGTCGTCGTGCTTTTCAGGAGAGCCTTTGCCGGATCCGATTCCGCTGTCCGGGCGGTCGGCGCCACTTGGGTCGACCCGGGATAGATCGTTACCTCTTTTCTCCTTCATGCGTCGGCGCTCTCGGCAACCACGGCGACTCATCGCGTCTGATTCGTTGTCGAAATCCTGGTTCATCCAAAAACTGGGCCTAAGAACATGTGCGACGACCGGCGTGCCGCGATCCACTGGGCGGCAGTCTCGAATGTTGAGCTGCACGTCGACCTACGACGGCACGTGTATGTTCAAGCGCAAGCGGAGCCGGAATGGTCGACCGATGAGGTCGAGGCGACAACACCGCCGCCGAGACCGATCGACCGACCCACCGCCTCCCTGAAATCTGACGCTTCACGGCGACTGCACCGTGAAGGGGAGAACGAATGACAGATCGGTAATCGTTGAATGATAGTTTATTTCCTCCGATGGCTTCGGCGCTGGATTATCACAAGATAGATTTGATAAAGATATCGATCTAAACTCTTTCGATTTGAAGTAGTTACAATACGGTCAACAAGTTTCCATTGTTCCGACGGTTACGACGACGACGATACGGCTTGTATTGTTCCTTCCCATTATCTACACAATATTGCATCTGCTCGACTCTGCAGGTGTTGAAGATGCAATGAATAATTTCCATCAACATTGAGTTTGAATGGATTGAACTAAATGTGTTTCTTCAAAAGGGGGAGAAGCCTTCCCCGACTTCCTTCCGGGTGAATTTCGAGCTAAGTACATGTTAAACGTAAAACGGTGCAGCCGATTGAAGAGAATGTATGAGGCTATAGAAGAGGTTCGAAAGTACTCTCCGGATCGATTAGAAGGAACGGTAGATGCATTGGAAAAAAATCATATCGTTCGATGTTGCGATATTTTCTCGACGGCGTATTTCGACGATGCGTCAGCGTATAAAACTCCGCTCGATCCGCCTTTCGCTCGTTCTCTATCCCCGCGACTCGGAACAGAGACAAGATTCAAGTTTTCCTAAGTGAAGAGCTTTGGAGAAGGCACAAGGCAAGGGATGAATCCAATTATACGACGAACTCGCGACCACGTTCCGTCGAAGAAGGCGACCGATGTGACACATGACCCTCCGGAGAGATGCTCGGTCGTTATATGTATGTATATACCAGACCATGATATCCTGCTCTCGCCCGCAGTAGCGGAGCAGTCCCTGGCGCGCGCTGAACGCGACGTCCAAGGCTACGGAATTTCGGGAAGAGAAGCTTTGGATTCGGTCTAGGGCTTGGGGTACAATTATCATCGATCCAGACTGTAGTCGGGTCGAATTCGAGCCTCGGAACCTGATCCTACAGAGTGCCTTTATCGCACAATGAGTAGTGCTTTCGAACTAATGGTCCGTCAAGCTAATCGGAATATTCCAGCTCAACAATCATCCGCGGAATATTCTCCCAATGAGTCAATCGGTCAAAGTAAAGAAGAATTGGAACAGGTGTAGTCGTCAGAGTGGCTTATATCATGAAATTTGTCAGTGGGTGAAAGTTGCGGACGAAAGCGGAAACTAAGTAAGTAGACCTATCTGTCCATCACCGATGATGGAGACGGACCGTCGAATCTTCAAAAAAAGAGAATCCGCAGGGGAAAGTGCTCCGGGACCACGGCTTGAATTATTTTTATAGGCGAACACCTCAGAGGACGATGATGATTATTACTGAATTTTTTGCCGGAAGCTAGACCTATTGCACGATTCCCAATGCTCATGTTAGCGGTCGGACTTTCCCATGGTCGAAATCATGATCCCGGCTCTTGGGATCTCTCGATAATTGAGCATCGGCTTGAGTTTAAGAAAGCTTTGAAAACCGAGCACTACATTAGCATGTAATGTTACCCCTCGGTTTTTCCACGAGGTCCTCCGAATCGAACTCGTGGAATAATTTCGTCCGAGTAGGTAGCCACGATGATACGCAGTCCTCGATGAATGGTAGCGAGTACGAGCCCGATGCACGTACTCAAAGGAGTCGAACACCGTGCACAGAGAGTACCATACGAGCACTGAGAGTAGCCCCCTGCTCGCCCGCGATCGATAGGTTAGGATACCGATACAACGAATCGGCTTAATCACGCCAACCAGGCGGGCACAGGTTAGATAAGGATCGGGGCAGCATGAAGCTATCTCGGCATTCTCGTTGGAACGCGTAAATATTGGTATTCGCGCAAATTACCCTAGGATGGCTAAGAATTCTCGGGAGCACCGTCGGGACAGTCTCGTATGCCTCTTTCTCTTGACGCGGGTCCGCGCAGACCATATGGCGCCGTCCGTCGGTGTCGCCCAGCCGAGCCCAATAGGTCGCCACTAGTTTTCTTGAAAGTCATCATGATGTCATCTCTTTAAGTTCAGTGTGTTGTTCTCCAATGGTTGTCATCTTTCGAATCGAGAGACCCCGTTACAAGTAGTCGTTTGTGCGAATGATCAATGTCTACATCTTCACCTTGTACGTCCGTCTGGGTCTATCTCTTCGCTCGCCTAGCTTGTCTAGCTACCAGTCCGTCCCTATGTTTGCTTGTCTGCCCGTCTCATAATCTGCAGTTTCTGAGCGCTATTCGGGAATCGACAGTCGCAGCGTAGCTTCCCGCGAGAGTTCAATTGCGAGGCTCGTCGGAAGATTCTATCCATTACAAATATTCTACGCTAATCATCCCGGAAGCGGATGCGAAGTTCCAGCGATATCTGTTCGACTGAATCTCCGACTGTTTACAGCGATTGTTTGAATGAAAAGTGAGAGGTTCCGATTGAACGATGGAAAACCACTCATTCGCGATGGACTCGGACTCGAGAGCAAGCAGACCGAGATGCAGCAGGTCTGCTTCCGGTTGTGTACCTTTGTGTCGATGATCATGATGTCTCTCTACTAGGAAGACTGGACAAGAAGCTAGGGTTCAACAGTCTACATGTGTAGGGAGCCTGCTGCAATGTATCTGGCTTCCCCGTGACGTTTCCATTGCGAAGGGCGGTACTTGATTAGGAATTGACCACTGGGTGACCTAGGGTTCCGGTACGCGTAAAACACCCAGAGGGAAACTCCCAAAACCAAAGCGATTATGACGAACAGGGCTTGGAGGCCGGCGCTACCGCCCGATCCCCTCGTAGCGTTATCGGCGCTGGCCAATGCGTTATGGCCATCCGTGGCGGGACAGTGGCCCTTCGGCGTCTGCAAGGTGACGGGAGGGAACGGTCAGTACATGTAGCTCGGAAGACTCCGATCGGTCGAAGTATGACGCGTAACGTATGGAAGACGCGTAACTTTCAGGGAAATATAGACCTGACAGCCTCGAAACGGAATACGTCCAGTCGTGCACTTACCACGTTCTCCTCGCACTTGTTACTGATCCAAGTCTGGCGGTGGCGATCGACCCCGGAAGAGCATCGCTGAACGGACTCACACCACGTGCAGTTGAAGTTTATCTGAGCTGTGGTGCATTCTTCGCAGCTTTTCAGCGAAACACATGTGGGCAACGCTCGAATCACAATGGCGGAGTTCGAGCGGACCTGGTCCGTCTTCTTGTTGATCGAGTGGTACTCGTAGATGGTTTTGCGTTTCAGAACTAGAATCAACGTGAAACAGCTTAGTCAGACCTTTTCAGCTTATCAGATAGAAGGAACAGATGCTCTTTCGTCGTTCGACCCCGCATCCCGGGATGGGAGATCGGCTTCCCGGGATGATATCCCGGAATATTGACGTGTAGAACGTCAGATGTCTACGTCTTCAGCGTCAAATGAGGACGCAAGCCGTACTACTCACGATATATGACGCGCTGGAAGAGGTAGGCATCCGATATTCCAATCTTCACTGGATGGTTCTTCTCGGTGATATTCGAAATCGGAATGGGGATGCTCTTGTAGACGAAGACGATATCTCCGTTTTTGTGGAGGATGGTTTGGAAAGTGAAATTGCCCGCCTCTCTGTAGTCTTCGAGTTGGACGTTACGCCATTCGACAACAAACACCGTTCCGTTATCGTAATACTTCAGGGAAGACTCGGAGGAGTTTACCGACGCCTTGAAATTAGCCATCAGAGGAGCTATGTACTGGGTCGCCGCAAGCCACATGTGTAGCTTGTAGCCCACATACAGGAAGCCTCCGGTGGCGATCGTCACGTTGTTGATCGGATGTCCGTAGAAGGGAAAGTCGAATGTGAGGTTCACGGTCTGCAATAGAATAGATCAGGCTCAAACATTGTCGAGGTCTGGGGCAATAATTCCAGAAATAGCTGTTGCAAGTGGACGAGCGAACGCAGTCCGTCAGTATCCGAACGAGATGAATAGTTTTACACAAGAGCGGTTTTCTAGAAAAAAAACTTCTCTGACGGTTTCGGCCAGCGCAACGTTTCTATTCATGGGCTCACAAGCGAACCCGAGCTCGCAAATGCGAGACGATGTGACTGTCAGAGCTTGAGGAGCGAAATGATTGAGGTCATATTCGGCAAAGATACGACGAGCAGCGGAAACCTCCCCGAGCAATAATTCTTCGATGTCGTCGCCGCCTAGCCCGATGCCAGGCTCTACGCTGAACCGGCGGCACTTGGTGGGGTTCCGAACGCTCTCGATTTAATGAAATCAATCCCTAGGGTTCCATATGTAGATGGATCTAGAAGGGCTCCCGAGGGCGCTGCTGAACAGTCGCGCTTCCGGCTGAGTTGGTGGATGGGCGGGCCACGGAAAAGCGGGGACCACTACTTTCCAGTGAACGCGATGCGGAGAAACGAATGGATTCGACTCACCGCTGCCCGACGGTAGCTTTCGCTGAGCATTTCATGGGTGACGGTTTCATTCAAGTTATCCAGCTCAATCCACATGGCTTCAGCCTGCTGTTCGTCGACGATGATGCTCGAATTGTAGTAATCATGGGTCTCATCTGTCTGCTCCGTAAAACCCTCTTTGATTGGCCGGTTGTCCGGGGGCAAGGTGACCTAGCGTGAGAGAACAGTTGTTTACATTGACTGCTTGCACCCCCTAATGAGGAATGACGTTGTCAATGAATTTGATTTCCCGAGTCAAAGGGACGTGTATCCGATCCGGAACGAACCTCATCTGTACTGAACGGGCTTCTCGTGAGAGCTGGCACTGGCTTCTCGTCTTTGCGTCCCGCGTCTTCATGCGGAGCTTCAGTTTGTTTCGCGGCACCAACGGCGGGCGTCGTGTACTCGAGCGGTGTAGGATCATCCGTCTTGGGAGCAGCACTTGCGGGAGGCGACGCGCTCGACGGAGGGGCAGCTTCTGCTTTGGGATTACTGTTCAATGGCACATCGGCTGCGCCGATCGGATCCTTCGACGAGAGACTAGATTTCGGCGAAGAAACTTTTTTTTCTTCGGTGACCACGGGTTTCTTCTTCACTTCCGTTTTCATCGGAGTCTTCCCGTTTCCTGGAGAAGAGAAAGTTCTGTTCAGATATCAACTGATTGAGGCTTCCTCCGAAGAGAATCACGAACAATGTCTAATATTCATGGGAGAGAGCTTTTTCCAAGCGTTTGTCCGGGGAACATGTCACAGGGCAGCTACGCGATACATGTCACAGGGCAGCTGCGACGATCTACCGTCGCAGAGTGTCGCGGGAACGCTTGAAGAAGACGGAGAAGGAACGATCATTATCACGAGTTATTTTTTCGACCGGAAAAGTGTCACCATTCACAGAGCCTTATTTATCGGCCGCTTCGTCGGAGGACCGGCTCGATACCTTCCGAAAACAATGCCCGACATCAAACACTTAGCCATCGGCCGCATTATTCCCATTACTTGGATATGCCGAGACGCTCGGCTATGAATTCTCTTAAATGACGTTTTGATGATCGAATGGTCACACGTGAGACGATGGCCGGAATATCCCATTCCGAAGCGAACGGAATACCTGACGCTGAGCTCGCGCCAGGAGTTTGCCCGGAGGCGACTCCTTAGCGCGCGCGAAGATGGGAAATCGAGGTGAGCACGGAGCTAAGCCGTTTGTTCGAGAGCGACGTCGATTCGGTATATGAACAATGCGTCGATTGTCACAGTCTATGGAGGGGTTGACTTTGCCACCGGAACAATATCAAGTGCGCAGTTGGTCGACGGCCCTGTCGGTAGACCTTACTGGAATTGAGCCAAAACAGCCGACGGACAATATCTGTATCTTTTTCCGTTGGAATTCACTCACGCTCCACGAGTGGCGAACGCGGTTTTCTGCATCGCCGAAGCCGCCATCTCGAGCGCAAATGACACCGTTACATGTTCATCAGAATTCCCTGAATAGCGGTTTCGGGTAACTTCGACGTAAACGCTCCGAAAACGAATAAACGGCGATCGGCGCTCGTTTCCGTATACTTCCCCTAATTGAATTCTTTCTACGAGCTGGCGACGTTGTTGCACGTTCGACAGACTAACTAACAAGCGTAATTATTCGCCTCGATTCTAGGCGATGTATCGCGAGGGTCGACCCAGTGGTTTACGCGCGGCCCCATCCCTCAGCGACACAATCGACGGGAACGGAACGCCACAACAGGAACTGCATACAAGCTCATTTTGTCGCAGAACGCGATTGGGCTCATCTAGCATTGGCGACGAAGAAGCGGAACTTGCGAAGAAGCAGCAGTTGAGAACGCCGGGAGCGATAGTCGACGGAGCCGCTAACTTAATGGCTTGCCCCTCCCCGGTCCGACCGATGTCGGAACTGTTTCGCCCGCTCTAGCAAAGTGTCCACGAGCGCTCGCTCCCCTGGCTCGTTGTCGATGCGTGGCCAACAAGACGTGAGCCTACGAACAAATCAAATTCTCCAGTGACCAATCCATCCGTGGTGGAAACGTTGTCCGCCATCGCCCGCCGTCACAACCACCGATTGGAGGTAAAGTAACGGTTCCTGTCTGGGTGCTTGGCTACCTGGTTTGTTGGTGGCTGGCAAGCTGACTGGCTCGTATATGGGTCAGCAAGAAAGTTCGCAGCCGCGCGGGTTCCGCGGGTATGACGCGGCCGGAGTCGTCGCGAGCAAGAATCAAAAAGATGTGGTGAAGAGACCGGACCGAGAAACTATGCATGAGGCGTCTCGTAACGTTTCCGATGGTCAATTGAGTCTAGTCTCGCTCGACACTCGATCCGGCGATAATTGAGCCGTACTAGTCGTTCATGCTCAGCCTAGTCCCTAGCGACAAGCAGCAAGTTTCGTATTCCTTCTAGACTAAACCGCGTAAACCAGCTAGCCAGCTGGGCGATTGTGCTTTGACATCGTTCGCGGCAAGCCAATCTTGGAGCTCCTTTCCTCGCTTACCGAAACTTCCGTTTAGCGACGCTCGCCAAATGTCAATCCGCGCTATCCACCTGAACCGGAAGTGAAGGTTTCGTCGCCAAGCGCAGGTATCCTGCACAACTAAATGACGCTTGACAGCGACAAATGTCAATGTAAACCCTTGACCAATCAAACTCCGGCATCATGCTCGTTCCGCTCTTTGCAGGCTCTGGAAAACTCCCTCTTTAGCTCACGAGGGAACGAGAGCACGATTGGGATCTGAGCTCCCTCTCTACCCTCCAAGACAATGCCCCCACCCCCGTGAACTCCCTCAAAAGAAATACGGGAGAAGAAATAGAGCGGTGTGAATATTTCCCCGAACAGGGCTCGCCAGTCGAAGCACGACGGGGAATTTATGGACAATGCGAGGTGATTCCCGCCGCGACACTGGTTATTGGATCCAATTATTTTAGAGCCAGGAATACTGGCGGCGCCGTATCAGTAGCCCGTTGGCGGCGACTGATTGTGACGGTGTAGCTCTATGAAGAATCATGTTGACGGGAAGTCTTATGGGAGCACAAAATAACAACCGGTCCCGCAAGATGGGACTGCCTATCGGAGCTTAACTCAAATACGAATGTTCCCGGCTGAGTTTCACGAGAATCCCTTTGAAGATCTTCCTACGACGGTGAACCCAATGAGAGTGAACTCTAGAGCGGTTGAAGAGTTCTGAAAGCGTTTAGCAAGGGTGCTAACCGGCGCTTGTCCCTCCACTGATGCGAGCAGGGTGAATACTTTCTGCGTATCGGGGGTGGTGGTGTCTCCAGAATAGTTCATCTCTTCGGTTTGCGACCGACAGCCCATGATAGGCTTGTCGGGACGCTTCCCGAAAGCTTTCCCAGTGGCAAACGAATCGCTACTCGATAGAATGGAGTTTCTGGACCCGTCTCTAGAAATTGTATCGTCCAGGGTTCCAACCGGGTCGCTCCGACTGTTTTTGTTCTGCGTAGCTCTTTTGTCGGCTGCCCTCCGGCAACGAGTGTAGGCTTCGACTTCTGACGCACATTCTTGCCTAGTCTCGGACATGAGAATGATCTACCGACTTACCGAGATCTTCACCACCCGCGACACTGCTGATGAGGGTGCCAACAAGTATCAGCAACACGAGTAGTTTATAACTGGTACTGTGAGCCGTCCGGCTCGCCGAATTCCACTGGGCCATATCTGTGTCAGAGTCCTGCGACGATGTACGTCGTCTCTGATCAGCACCAGTAGTCAGAACTCAACTATTTCCTATATGGCAATCCGAGTAGGAGATCGACCGACTGTCTGACCCACCGACCGACCGACCGCACAACTGAACGCACGACTCACTCAAACCGACGACTACGACGAGGGCTTGTGGTGGTGGTGGTGTGTGTGAATGGTGCTGCTGCTCTTGGGGGTTGATGATCTTTGACGGGACGAAGCTGTGCGCGTGTGTGGTGTGGGTCCGCTCCGAGGCTGCAACTGTTTTGTGCCTGCGTATCAGACACGCGATTTCTCGCAACTGGAGGACGGCATTCCGATCGGTTCGGCCGGTGCGGGCGACGAGCATCAATCGTCACATATGCCGAGCAGGTGTGCTTGGCTTGCGCGAATTCGCGGACTCGGCCGCGAGCCTGTTACTATCCGCGACTAGAGTTTGGACAATGATGCTGAAGATTGATGATCTTTGCTGAAAATTCGACCAGGATCGGGCGGTCGCCGTCACGATTTCTCAGTCACTTCGATGGCTGCGGAAAAGCCTGGAGACTCGTCTCGCAGCCCTCGAGGTCTTCCGCCGGTTCCCCTGTGACACCGAAAAGCTGCTCGCCACCGTCAAAGACAAGATCAAGAGGGAACCAAACGACAGTCGAGTGTCCTCGTTCGTCTTGACCTACGTCACCTGCCGCGCGAAACGCTCATCCTTCCACGAGGATTCTTCCTTCATCACGTCGGAAGAAACCTTGAAGTCGCTCAGGCTCGACCAGCCGAAGTACTCGAGACTCAATGATATGGAATATTCTCCAACTTTCCGCATATGGTATTCGGAATCAACGTGAACTCGGTCTTCACGAATGAATTCCACACCGTGATGCTGGATAGCTCTTGGGATATTTCCGGCCGCGAACTCAGCATTTCGGGCTCGGAAGTCCGCAGTCAGGATGGTCTGAGGCATTTTGACGGTTTCGTTCGATTCTTCGCGAATGGGATCCTGTACGAGAGCCTGCACCCAACGATTCCTGCCAAACTTTCAAAGGAGATCATTAGCATCATTGTATACATTCCCCCAAACGACAGATTCTCCATTTTTGTGGAGTTCTACTCCCCAAACTCCTCGTACGCACTTTCCACGGATCAGCATTCGCGCAATTGGACGTCATCGGGAAGGAACGTACAAGCGTACGAATGTTTGCGGTACGAAGCGCGAGAGCGTAGAAACTCAGTTTCATGTCTCATTGCTCCCGAGAGAGCGGTTCGTGTCCGTACCACAAAACGCTAGATCCCACATGCACGCAGCCTGCTAGGCCAACAGC